AGTCCTTCGGTTGATCTCTTACCCCCCCTCCTGCCCCCCAACCCTCCCCGGCCTTCCCGCTGCAGTTTGACAGTCTGTTCGAGGCTGTTCTGCCTCTGTGTCTATTTTTGCTCATCAGTTTATAATGGTCTTAATTATCCATAAATGAGTGAGATCACGTGTAGTCTCTTTCTGTGCCGCTCTCACCTGGGTTGAGCCTGTTCTCAATGCTTTTCGGAAAATGGACGTTGTCGGGAGGAGGGCGCTGCCTTTGGAAGATGCGGCGGCTGCGCGGCTGCCCTTGGCTTCTTCCTTCTCCCCGTGAACCCTCGCAGGCCCTCCTTTCCCATTGTCCCGCTTCGGCTTGACGTTTCATTTGAAAAGCTAATCTGAAGGACAGGCGAGGGGAGCAGGAGGTGGTGCGTGTCTCCAGGGACAGCTGTCGCTTTGAATGCTGTTTGCAGTGGGGCTGCTCATTCTGTAACCCACCCAGGCACGCCCCCCGCAACACTCCCCTCCTCCCCCCGGCTGCTGAAGGCCCGGACAGGAAAGTGTAAAACGACATTCTCTCCAAGTCACAGTAGCCACGGGGGAGCAGGCAGGTGCAGCCACTTGTCCCACCTTTTCCCTGACCTACTTTGAAGGTTGCACCTCCTTTTAAAAATTATTTATTTATGTTACTCCTCACCCGAGGATATTTTTCCATTGATTCTTAGGGAGAGTGGAAGAGAAGGGGAGAGACAGAGAGAAACATCGATGTGAAAGAAACACATGGATTGGTTGCCTCCTGCACGAACCCTGGTCAGGGCTTGGGCTGGGGAGGAGCCTGCAACCAAAGTACGTGCCCTTGACCGGACTCGAACCCGGGACCCTTCGGTCCACAGGCTGACACTCTATGCACTGAGCCACACCGGCCAGGGCAAGGTTGCAGCTGCTTTGAAGACTGAAGCAAAATGCAAGCTTGTCGAGGGGGTCAGTGTGCACTGGGGTGGGAGGCGGGGCTTTGGGGATTCGGACTCCTCCCCTCATGCTTCTTTTCCATGTGTGCTCCCTGGAGATCCCGTCCGGCCTCTTCATCCCCAGCATGGCTGTGGGGGCCATGGCGGGCAGGATGGTGGGCATCGGCGTGGAGCAGCTGGCGTACCATCACCACGACTGGATCATCTTCAGGAACTGGTGCAGGCCCGGAGCGGACTGCGTCACCCCGGGACTCTACGCAATGGTGGGAGCAGCAGCCTGCCTAGGTACAGCCAGAGGCGGGGTGAGGCGGGGTGAGGCGGTGTGAGGCGGGGTGGGAGGTGCAAGGAAAGGAAGACAGACTGAGCACAAGGGCCGATCTGGGTTAGAGGACTGGCCAGAGGAAGCCATGAGCACTTGCGCTCTCAGGATCAGAGAGGGTATGCTGCTGTGACAAGTAATCCCCTAAATCCCACGGGCTTAACACACCGAGGCTTAGATCTGGTCCGTGATGGCGGTCGATCCTCATAATTCGTGGATTCCATAATTGGGCATTTGTGTACTTGCTAAAATGTGTTTGTCACCCTCAGATCAATACCTGTAGGGCTTTGCAGTCCCTCTCCGACACTCACAGGTGCAACACTGGAGTGATCTGACACGTGTACGTTCCCAGCTGACTGACCAAGGTGAAGGTCTGCCTTCTTGGTTCGGCTCTCACACGGGACACAGATGTCCTTCTTGTGGTCTATCGAGTGCCATGGGATTTGCATTTGTTGTGCTTTTTGTTCATGATTCTGCGGCTTAAAAGGGCGTAGCGCTGAGGTGCTGCCTGGCGCTCCTCATGCGAGGAGCCTGGGATGTGCCTCAGGGAGAAAACACACGTTCAGAAGCTCCCCTCAGGCTGAGTTCAACGTGGCTGAGTCAACTGCATCTGTTAAATAAGGTGTCTTTGGCCAGAAACACACACAAATGGATTTTGACAAAAATGTGAGCACAGGCTCACAGAAACCTAATCTAGGTCTCCCCTTGGGCAGTGATTAAGAATTTGTTAATTCAGCGTTTGTGGGACTTTTGTAGATCATAATTACTGTGAATAATGAGAATCAACGTGTGTGTGTGTGTGTGTGTGTGTGTGTGTGTGTGTGTGTAGTTAGTGGAAGGTTCTCCCCACTTGGTCATTCAGGGATGGAGGCTGATGGATTCTCTACCATCTCGCAGCTGTGCCATCTAGGATAGTGGTTTTCAACTGGGGGCGATTGTGCCTCTCAGGGACAGTGGACAAGAGAGGAGACATGTTTGGCTGTCACACCTGGGGGTGGCGGGGCTAGAAGCACCTACTGGGTGGGGGCCGTGGATGCTGCTAAACATCCTACAGTGCGCAGGACAGCCCCAAGCAAAGAATTACCCAGTGCCACATGTTCCTAGTGCTGAGATCAAGGAACCCCAGTTCAAGTTCATTGGAAGATTAGAAGTTGGTATGGTTTCTCCTGCTGAATGCCGAGGGACACAGGGGGGTCCTCTCCTGTCTGTAACCCCCAAGAGTCTCTGCAGTTTTCCAGCTTTTGGGGTTCTGGAAGGGACTGCTTGCTGAGTGAGAAACCAGAGCCCGCATAGGATCCACTCACCAGAAAGCAAGGCGTGTGGTCCTCGGTCAGTGGTCGGCAAACTGCGGCTCGCGAGCCACATGCGGCTCTTTGGCCCCTTGAGTGTGGCTCTTCCACAAAATACCGACTTCTGCGTACGGGCCACGAAGTTTCAATCACACTGTACGTGCGCGCCCGCACGTGGTATTTTGTGGAAGAGCCACACTCAAGGGGCCAAAGAGCCGCATGTGGCTCGCGAGCCGCAGTTTGCCGACCACTGTTAGGTGAATCAACATCCGAGTTGTCCCTCAGTGCAGAAGAGCCCCCAGTCGGATGAGGCTCACGGCTCCCTGATGTAGGTGACAGAGGGCTGAGCACGGGCAGCGTGTAGAACTGTCTCCTTAGAACAGACGCTCTTGGACTGTCTCCTTAGAAACTTGAGTTTCCAGCCAGCTTGTCAGTTTCCACAACCCATGCCCTGCGGAGGGTCTGGGTTGAGCTGGGAATCCCCCTCCTCTCTCGCCTCGCAGGTGGCGTGACCAGGATGACGGTGTCATTGGTGGTCATCATGTTTGAATTAACCGGGGGTCTGGAGTACATTGTCCCTTTGATGGCAGCAGCCGTGACCAGCAAGTGGGTGGCCGACGCCTTTGGGAAAGAAGGCATCTATGAGGCCCACATCCACCTCAACGGATACCCATTCCTGGACGTGAAGGATGAGTTCACGCACCGCACGCTGGCCACCGACGTCATGCGGCCGCGGCGCGGGGAGCCCCCGCTGTCCGTGCTCACCCAGGACAGCATGACCGTGGAGGACGTGGAGACGCTCATCAAAGAGACCGACTACAACGGCTTCCCGGTGGTGGTGTCCCGGGACTCCGAGCGCCTCATTGGATTCGCCCAGAGGAGGGAACTGATTCTCGCCATAAGTGAGTAGAGAGGGGGGAGCTGGTGGGCTGCTAAGGTGAATGGCAGCCTTCTACCCTCCCCCCCCCCCCCCCTTAAGGGGTAGAGAGAGCCTACACAGTCAGAAGGCTTTCAGCCAGGGCATCGCACACTTTTTAAAAATATATATTTTTATTGATTTCAGAGAGGAAGGGAGACGGAGAGAGAGATAGACACATCAATGATGAGAGAGAATCATGGATCAGCTGCCTCCTGCACGCCCCCCACTGGGAATGGAGCCTGCAATCCGGGCATGTGCCCTGACCGGGAATGGATTCGAGACCTCCTGGCTCATAGGTTGATGCTCAACCACTGAGCCATGCGGGCCGGGCGGATCCCACACTTGAATGCATACTTGTGTCCCTTGGGGATCTGGTTGAAGTTCAGATTTGGATTCCGCTGGTCTGGGGTGCGGCCCGAGGCGCTGCGTTTCTCCCAAGCTCCCTGTTAAAGCTCTGTGGCTGGTCCCACGTCGCACTGTGAGGAGCAGGGCCTCAGGAGGCGTTCTTGGCTGGAAGATGAGCGCCACCTTTGCAAGCGGCTCCCTGGGCTCCAGTCCTGCCGGGAGGCATGTGGTGCAGCCTTTTAGAGAACGCAAAGCCGAGAAGGAAGGGATGGGAAAGCCTGAGCCGGCCCGGGCTGAGCTGCTCTCAGAGACAGACTCAGGCAGGCGAACTACTGAGATGGGGAGTTCTTTGCCTCTCGGCTCCACCCAAGCCTTTCGCTTCCCGCTGTGACATGATGTCACATCAGTTCTGTGCGATGCTTTTCCTCCTCCTGTGCGAATCGAAATCAGCTGGGCTGAGGGCCAGGCTGTTGAGTTGCGGGAGGAGAGGGGATGATGTCCAGGTGAGGTGTCCCGAAGATAAGCGGCTCCGGAAAGCAAGCCTGTGGGCCCAGCAGCCTGGCCGAGGCTGCATTGAAGGGCAGCGGGAGGAGGAGGATTCCAAAGAGCTAAGCGTGTGGGGAGCTCCCTGGGGAGGTGGGGAGGGGGTGGGGGAGTCCCAGCGGACCTCCCCATGCAGCGGGGCAGGGAGCAGTGAGCGCATCGGTGGTGCCCAGCAGACCTGCATGCCATTCCGCTCACATGCCTGCCCGTGATCTGCACACCAGCCCAGCGCCTCGCTGCAGGCTGGGCCCATGATGGGGCTCAGGTTTGCATGGATGACTTTACTAACTCTCCCATCTGCCAGAGTATTTATAAAGTTTGCCAGGGGGACTCGCCTGGGTATGGCGGCAGAACGTCCTGATGCCCGCGCGCCTTCACCTGACAAGCCTTTGCCTCGCCCTGCCCTTGGTTAACCATCTCTCAGCTCGCCCTTTGAAGTCCCAGGTCTCTTCACGTGTTAAATAGCTTTGAAAATATCTTTAAAGTATCTTCATCAAAGGCTTTATAAAAATAACCTTGGATAAGCTCTATCCTCTAATGTTTGTTGCTCAAACAGGATTACCTCCCAAAGCAACAGCTGACTTTATAGTTTGGACACGGTAGCGCATTTGTGCTGACTGCTCAGTGATACTTCTCTTTCTTGTAGGTCAGTGATGGCGAACCTTTTGAGCTCGGCGTGTCAGCATTTTGAAAAACCCTAACTTAACTCTGATGCCATGTCACATAGAGAAATTTTTTGATATTTGCAACCATAGTAAAACAAAGACTTATATTTTTGATATTTATTTAATATATTTAAATGCCATTGAACAAAGAAAAATCAACCAAAAAAATGAGTTTGCGTGTCACCTCTGACACGTGTGTCATAGGTTCGCCATCACTGTTGTAGGTCCTGTCACTTAGCCTTTAGACATCAGTATTGCCTTAGAGAAAATGAGGTTGTTTAGAAAAGCTGTATAAGCCCAGGCCGGTTTGGTTCAGTGGTTAGAGTGTCAGCCCGCAGACCGAAGGGTCGCTGGTTCGATTCCTTGTCCTGCTAGGAGGCAAGAGGCTACAGACTTTTAGAGAATGCAACCTGTACCTCAGCTGCAGGTTCAGTCCCCGGCGTGCATCAGGGAGCTTGTGGGAGACAACCAGTTGAGATATCTCTCCCTCTCTCTCTCTCTCTCTCTCTCTCCCCTCCCTCTCCCTCCCTCTCCATCTCTCTCCCCGCTTCCTCCCTTCCACTCTTCCTCTAAAGATCAATGGAAAATGTATCCTTGGGTGAGGATTAAAAAAACAAACCACGCTGTATAAGTAGGGCTGGGTTTGTTTTAAAATAAGGTGATCAGCAGCCTTTAAGCAAAGATTGAAATTAAAATCTGAAGCGATAAATGTCACAGGCTCAATCACCTGTTGTGCAGCTCGGGCACACCCGCCAGGAGGCGGTTCACTAACCCTACTGCCCCCATTGCCATAATCAAGTGGGAAGCAGCAGTTGTCCCCAGCGCTGGAGCCCGCTGCCCCGCGCCCCGGGAAGCTGTGTTTGGAATGTCTGAAGAGGCACCACGCCGTGGAAATAACACCTCTACGCTTTCAACCAGCCGGCCCGGCGGAGAAGCTGCTATTTGCATGGTGTGTGGAAAGGCCAGGGGTGGCTTCGCTCCGAGTAACCAGAAGAGCTGTTTTCCTGGCCCTGGGAACAGAAGGCTCCCTGGATTGCGGTGGAGACACTCGCGAGCTGCATTTGCAGGATGAATGTGCCCTTTCGTGACGATGGAAATAGGACGCCAGCAGTTAGCTGGCACTGACTGCATGCCGAGTCCACTCCCAGGGGCATGAGGAGCAAAGATTATCATAGATCCGAGTAGTTTGGATGAGAAAAGCATGGTGAATAGCGGTCACGTTAAAGACGGTAGCAGCCGCTCCCGGGACATGGAAGTGTGTTGTGATTTTCCGTCTCTCTCTGGACCGCAACCCACGGCTGTGTCTCTGTTAGCGAGTGAGTCCTCGCACTGCCTGGGAAGTGCGGCCTCTTCACCACACACAGCACGTGGGGCCAAGGTGGCCCCTGCTCAGATTCCGGGTTCAGGGGACTTTGCCTCTTGGTGCCATTTGCAAACACGAGGCTTTTCTGTGCTCGGCAGGGCTTCAGGCTCTTCCAGACTTGGGTTCTGCAATTAAGCAAGGACGGCTGAGAGAGGACTCAGTGAAGCCACAGCGATGATTAAAGGGATGGAAAGTTCCAGTTATGGGCAAGAGTTAAGGGAACTCGGATTTTTTTTTGTCTGGTGGATGATTTAATGATGATTCTCCAGGATGTGGAAGATGCTTACTTGCAGAAAGGGACTGACATCCAGGGCCTAAGAAGAAGATAAGTGTTAGCCCGGCCAGCGTGGCTCAGTGGTTGAGCATCGACCTATGAACCAGAAGGTCATGGTTGATTCCAGGTCAGGGCACTTGCCCCGGTTGTGGGCTCAATCCCTAGTGTGGGGCATGCAGGAGGCAGCTGATCAATGATTCTCTCTTATTGATGTTTCTCTCTCTCTCTCTCTCTCTCTCCCCCTTCCTCTCTCGAATCAATAAAAACATATTTTTAAAAAAGAAGATAAATGTCAGATCTGTTGGACAGGCTGTTTAGGGATAAAGAGATTTCCTCCTGGAAGAACAGCAGTGTCATCTGCTTCTGCTGGAGACTTCTCCAGGCCTTAGTAAACCATGGCATCCTAAAATAATCTGCTTTTTCTTCTAAATAGTGTTTACTTTGTTATAGCATCTTGTACTGATCACCACTACAGTTGCTCCCAATTTTACACCTTAACCTTCTTGTAAATTACATCTGTTTTTATGGAAGCTTTAAGATTTTTTTTATTGATTTCAGAGAGGAAGGGAGAGGGAGAGAGAGAGATAGAAACATCAATGATGAACGAGAATCATGGATCGGCTGCCTCCTGCACGCCCCACACTGGGGATCGAGCCTGCAACCCAGGCATGTGCCCTGACCTGGAATGGAACCTTGACCTCTTGGTTCATAGGTCAACTGAGCCACACCAGCCGGGTCATGTGATCAGTTCTTGATTGAGGTGTGTGGCTTGATCCATTCCCAATGTTCAAATTGGTTATTGAAAGAGATGGGATTCCTGCTGCGTGGGACTTCTAGAAAATCAACTGGTGTATGAACGTGAGCAAATAAGTATGTGTTGACTGTCGCCTCCACCTTAGAGCTTCAGGACAGAACCGCCTTGACTTAGGGGAGAAGTGCGCAGTGTGCGTTGCATAGCCTCTCCATTTGAAAACATGTTGTGCCTCATTGTCACCTGCTTCTGTGGTGGAGTCATCTCCCATTTGATGCAACTAGATTGAACCTGAGCCAAATAATGGGCAGGCATCTGCCCAGCCGGCCCCATGTTCCTCTTTTAAACAGAGACCCCTTTTCAACCAGCCTGACCGTGGCGCTCCCCGCTTCCCATTAGAGCAGTGGTCCTCAACCTTCCTAATGCCGCGACCCTTTCATACAGTTCCTCATGCTGTGGTGACCCCCAATTTCATTGTTACAAATTGAACATAATTAAAGCATAGTGATTCATCATTCATCACAAAAACAATATGTAAATATAGATGTGTTTTCCGATGGTCTTAGGCGACCCCTGTGAAAGGGTCGTTCGACCCCCAAAGGGGTCTCGACCCACAGGTTGAGAACCGCTGCATTAGCGCGCTCTACTGCAGTAAACGGCCTCTGAGCAGGCAGTTTGAGTTTTATTTATCAAAGAACGATGTAGGTGAATTGTAGTCTTTGAGGAAGGAGACCTGTATTTTAGAGACTGGGATTCGTTTGAAAGCAAGTCCCGCCGTACATTTTCCCTGACCTCTACCCATGAACCAAAAGAAAGATGAAAACCCTGACAGAAGCAAGTGGCCTTGGACAAATATCTTGAGACCGATGGGTTTGTTTCACATGTGACTTAAAATAGCCCGGGTTTCTCTGGCGGCATGAAGCTGTATTCTAATGAGTTCCCGTCCCCCTGCCTCAGCCCTGTCACACGGCCTTGCCTATAGATAGAAATAGGCTAATTGTTACCATAAGAGTTTTACTATCTCTCATTGCGATACCCTCAGAGTGGCCCATTTTTAAGAGAGGAGATCCAAGGGGTGGGCGATGCGGCTTTTCCAAGGGCATTTCCTTGGTCCCAAGGGTCATATTTGGGATTTGAGCTAAATTTCTGGGCTGTGAGCCTGGGCTGGTCCCATTAAATTCCTGTTCCTTTCAGGACTCACAATGCCATTTGGGCTGACTGTAAGCCTGTAAAAAACCGATGTAGAAAGGTCACGGAGCCGCTAAGTGTGGTTTCTTTTTCCTTTTCAAAAATATGCTTGCATTGATTTCAGAGAGGAAAGGAGAGGGAGAGAGAGATAGGAACATCATTGATGAGAGAGAATCATGGATCGGCTGCCTCCTGCACGCCCCCTACTGGGGATGGGGCCTGCAACCCAGGCATGTGCCCTGACCGGGAATTGAACCATGACCTCCTGGTTCATAGGTCGATGCTCAACCACTGAGCCACACCGGCCAGGTAAGTGTGGTTTTTTGTTATGTCCAACTTCACCCGTGATGAGGTGTCTGAAGTGTTAAGAAGGCGAGGGCGGAGGGTGGAGGGCGGAGGGCGGAGGGCAAAGGGCTCTGGGTCTTCTGGGTGCCTGGAGTCCAGGGAAAGCAATGCATCACCACAAAGGAGCATCCTGCTCAGGCCTGTCTTTCAAGACCTTGGCAGTGAACAGGCGGGTCACAGCAGGGGGACCCTTGCCTAGCAGGCACCGATTTCACAGATGTTTGGCTGAAGCCCCCCCATTAAGAATGTGGAGTTGCTGCCCTAGCCAGTGTGGCTCAGTGGATAGAGCATTGGCCTGCGGACTGAAGGGTCCCGGGTTCGATTCCGGTCAAGGGCACATGCCTGGGTTGTGCTCTCAATCCCCAGGACGGGGTGTGCAGGAGGCAGCCGATCCATGATTCGCTCTCATCATGGATGTTTCTATCTCTCTCTCCCTCTCCCTTCCTCTTTGAAATCAATAAAAATATATTTTTTAAAAAAAGAATGTGGAGTTGGCCCTCGGAGCCCCTTCTCTGTGGGATTCTAGGAGGCGGGAGGAGGGAAGATGTGTACCTGCAGGTCAGCGGGGGGTGGGGGGTAGGGGTAGTTGCTAAGCGAGGGACTGGGTGTGACTTCTGCTCCCGCTGTCCGTTCCAGAGAACGCCAGGCAGAGGCAGGAGGGCATCGTGAGCAACTCCATCATGTACTTCACGGAGGACCCCCCCGAGCTGCCGGCCAACAGCCCGCAACCCCTGAAGCTGCGCCGGGTCCTGAACCTCAGCCCTTTCACGGTCACGGACCACACCCCCATGGAGACGGTGGTGGACATCTTCCGGAAGCTGGGGCTCCGCCAGTGCCTGGTGACGCGGAGCGGGTGAGTGGCCGGGCTGGTGCCGGGGGAAGGGGGGGGGACGTGTACAGAGGCTGTGCCCAGACTGGGGAGAGCAAGGTGAATGTTCCCAGTAGGGGGCGTGCAGGAGGCAGCCGATCCATGATTCTCTCTCAGTCCTCAGGGGACTCAAGGTGGTTGCTTTTCTACCACCCTGTTGCCACTTGACTCAGGGAGAAGGTGCAGCCGGGCCTGCTGTAATGTGACATATACATTCCTCAGAGTCATGGTGCTGATCATATGCCAACGTGAGCAATGAAAACCACGGGGCTGGTGGGAAAGAGAGGGTTAGGGGCACAGCACTAAAAGCTTCGTCAGTGACACGTTAAGAAAAAGAGATGGGAGGTAATGAAGACGGGAGTACTATTTCAGACACAGTAAGTGGTTAAGAAATATGTCAGTATGACAAGACATATGTCACTTGGCCTTGAGGATGCCCGAGGTTGGCTCGTGGACGTGGGTGTCTCGAGGGCCATGGCTCGCGGGCATTTGGGTGCCCCCGGGCCCGGGCCCCGCTGGTGCTGCGTGCGGCTCTCACCCGCACTCTCTCGTGGATGAAATCCCCAGAAGCAGAGGTGAAGTTCACATTAAGCTCAGCCTGTTCCCTAATTTGTCAGCATGTTCCCGCCAGTTCACGCTTTCAGCACCAGCGTTATCAGCTGAGACGTGGCGGCCGTGGCATGGTCTCTGCCAGCAAATTCCTCCGCTTTCTGTGATGCCAGCCGGGCAGGCGGCGCTGCGGAGATCGGAGGGTCTTGATGGTGTGGGAGGTGCCGTGCCCTGAGGGCCAATGTTTGGGCTCAGAGGCGCACCCCAAATTCCACGGCCTCAGAAGCTTGGCAGGAGGAGGAGGTCGGCTCAGTCAGGGTTGCCTGGAACCTAGGGTCGTCTGCCCAGCTCATTCCTTTATGGGCAGCGGTGGGGAACGTCCGGCCCTCGGGTCGTATGAGGCCCGAGAAACCATGGGGTCTGGCCCTCCAAGGCATTAGGGGTGAGCTCATTCAATGTCTGACCAAATAGAGCAGGCTCATGTTTAAGGTGATGATTTTGTAGGGCCTGAGAATGATGTTACAAATCTCCCCATGGCCATTGGCAGGAAAAGGTTCCCCACCCCTGCCTTAGGGGCTGGGGCCATTGTTACAAATTGAACATAATTAAAGCATAGTGATTCATCATTCATCACAAAAACAATATGTAAATATAGATGTGTTTTCCGATGGTCTTAGGCGACCCCTGTGAAAGGGTCGTTCGACCCCCAAAGGGGTCTCGACCCACAGGTTGAGAACCGCTGCATTAGCGCGCTCTACTGCAGTAAACGGCCTCTGAGCAGGCAGTTTGAGTTTTATTTATCAAAGAACGATGTAGGTGAATTGTAGTCTTTGAGGAAGGAGACCTGTATTTTAGAGACTGGGATTCGTTTGAAAGCAAGTCCCGCCGTACATTTTCCCTGACCTCTACCCATGAACCAAAAGAAAGATGAAAACCCTGACAGAAGCAAGTGGCCTTGGACAAATATCTTGAGACCGATGGGTTTGTTTCACATGTGACTTAAAATAGCCCGGGTTTCTCTGGCGGCATGAAGCTGTATTCTAATGAGTTCCCGTCCCCCTGCCTCAGCCCTGTCACACGGCCTTGCCTATAGATAGAAATAGGCTAATTGTTACCATAAGAGTTTTACTATCTCTCATTGCGATACCCTCAGAGTGGCCCATTTTTAAGAGAGGAGATCCAAGGGGTGGGCGATGCGGCTTTTCCAAGGGCATTTCCTTGGTCCCAAGGGTCATATTTGGGATTTGAGCTAAATTTCTGGGCTGTGAGCCTGGGCTGGTCCCATTAAATTCCTGTTCCTTTCAGGACTCACAATGCCATTTGGGCTGACTGTAAGCCTGTAAAAAACCGATGTAGAAAGGTCACGGAGCCGCTAAGTGTGGTTTCTTTTTCCTTTTCAAAAATATGCTTGCATTGATTTCAGAGAGGAAAGGAGAGGGAGAGAGAGATAGGAACATCATTGATGAGAGAGAATCATGGATCGGCTGCCTCCTGCACGCCCCCTACTGGGGATGGGGCCTGCAACCCAGGCATGTGCCCTGACCGGGAATTGAACCATGACCTCCTGGTTCATAGGTCGATGCTCAACCACTGAGCCACACCGGCCAGGTAAGTGTGGTTTTTTGTTATGTCCAACTTCACCCGTGATGAGGTGTCTGAAGTGTTAAGAAGGCGAGGGCGGAGGGTGGAGGGCGGAGGGCGGAGGGCAAAGGGCTCTGGGTCTTCTGGGTGCCTGGAGTCCAGGGAAAGCAATGCATCACCACAAAGGAGCATCCTGCTCAGGCCTGTCTTTCAAGACCTTGGCAGTGAACAGGCGGGTCACAGCAGGGGGACCCTTGCCTAGCAGGCACCGATTTCACAGATGTTTGGCTGAAGCCCCCCCATTAAGAATGTGGAGTTGCTGCCCTAGCCAGTGTGGCTCAGTGGATAGAGCATTGGCCTGCGGACTGAAGGGTCCCGGGTTCGATTCCGGTCAAGGGCACATGCCTGGGTTGTGCTCTCAATCCCCAGGACGGGGTGTGCAGGAGGCAGCCGATCCATGATTCGCTCTCATCATGGATGTTTCTATCTCTCTCTCCCTCTCCCTTCCTCTTTGAAATCAATAAAAATATATTTTTTAAAAAAAGAATGTGGAGTTGGCCCTCGGAGCCCCTTCTCTGTGGGATTCTAGGAGGCGGGAGGAGGGAAGATGTGTACCTGCAGGTCAGCGGGGGGTGGGGGGTAGGGGTAGTTGCTAAGCGAGGGACTGGGTGTGACTTCTGCTCCCGCTGTCCGTTCCAGAGAACGCCAGGCAGAGGCAGGAGGGCATCGTGAGCAACTCCATCATGTACTTCACGGAGGACCCCCCCGAGCTGCCGGCCAACAGCCCGCAACCCCTGAAGCTGCGCCGGGTCCTGAACCTCAGCCCTTTCACGGTCACGGACCACACCCCCATGGAGACGGTGGTGGACATCTTCCGGAAGCTGGGGCTCCGCCAGTGCCTGGTGACGCGGAGCGGGTGAGTGGCCGGGCTGGTGCCGGGGGAAGGGGGGGGGACGTGTACAGAGGCTGTGCCCAGACTGGGGAGAGCAAGGTGAATGTTCCCAGTAGGGGGCGTGCAGGAGGCAGCCGATCCATGATTCTCTCTCAGTCCTCAGGGGACTCAAGGTGGTTGCTTTTCTACCACCCTGTTGCCACTTGACTCAGGGAGAAGGTGCAGCCGGGCCTGCTGTAATGTGACATATACATTCCTCAGAGTCATGGTGCTGATCATATGCCAACGTGAGCAATGAAAACCACGGGGCTGGTGGGAAAGAGAGGGTTAGGGGCACAGCACTAAAAGCTTCGTCAGTGACACGTTAAGAAAAAGAGATGGGAGGTAATGAAGACGGGAGTACTATTTCAGACACAGTAAGTGGTTAAGAAATATGTCAGTATGACAAGACATATGTCACTTGGCCTTGAGGATGCCCGAGGTTGGCTCGTGGACGTGGGTGTCTCGAGGGCCATGGCTCGCGGGCATTTGGGTGCCCCCGGGCCCGGGCCCCGCTGGTGCTGCGTGCGGCTCTCACCCGCACTCTCTCGTGGATGAAATCCCCAGAAGCAGAGGTGAAGTTCACATTAAGCTCAGCCTGTTCCCTAATTTGTCAGCATGTTCCCGCCAGTTCACGCTTTCAGCACCAGCGTTATCAGCTGAGACGTGGCGGCCGTGGCATGGTCTCTGCCAGCAAATTCCTCCGCTTTCTGTGATGCCAGCCGGGCAGGCGGCGCTGCGGAGATCGGAGGGTCTTGATGGTGTGGGAGGTGCCGTGCCCTGAGGGCCAATGTTTGGGCTCAGAGGCGCACCCCAAATTCCACGGCCTCAGAAGCTTGGCAGGAGGAGGAGGTCGGCTCAGTCAGGGTTGCCTGGAACCTAGGGTCGTCTGCCCAGCTCATTCCTTTATGGGCAGCGGTGGGGAACGTCCGGCCCTCGGGTCGTATGAGGCCCGAGAAACCATGGGGTCTGGCCCTCCAAGGCATTAGGGGTGAGCTCATTCAATGTCTGACCAAATAGAGCAGGCTCATGTTTAAGGTGATGATTTTGTAGGGCCTGAGAATGATGTTACAAATCTCCCCATGGCCATTGGCAGGAAAAGGTTCCCCACCCCTGCCTTATGGGCTGGGGCCGGGGCGGGGGGTGGGGGTGGGGTACGGGTTGTGGAGACGTTGGTCCCCTGAATATAGCTCAGGCCCCGTAGACTCCAGAGGCTGCGCTCTCTATCGTAGTTTACATTTCCCGGGCCACACTGTGGAAGTTGAATTCAGCACTTCTCACTCCGGGTGGTGCTGCCCCCCAGAGAGATGGGGTGTCACAGCGGGGAGGAGGGGGTGCTGCTGGCATCTGCTGGCATCTACAGTGCACAGAGCAGTCCACACGTCAGCAAAGAGTCATCCGGCCCGAGATGTCACCAGTGTTCCAACTGGGTGACCCCGCACTGGATGCCAGAGAACAGCTGAGTGAGCGGGCCTTGCCCAGGCGGCTTTCTCCCCGCTCTCCTGCCCAGAGCGGCCGGGCTCCCAGGGGCTGCATTTGCTCCCTGACCCGGAGAGCTCCTAGCAACAGAACCAACATCCCCCCCAACCCCCCCACCCCGGCTCTGACAGCAGCCACGGGGCATCTTGCACGTGGGAGGGGCGATCAATATGGAACAAATGAACAAATGTTTGAGGCTGGAGATTCTTTTAGCTGTGACTTTTTAAAAATATTTGTATTGATTTCAGAGAGGAAGGGAGAGGGAGAGAGATAGAAACATCAATGATGAGAGAGAATCATTGGTCAGCTGCCTCCTGCACACCCCCTACTGGAGATCAAGTTCGCAACCCGGGCATGTGCCTTTGACCAGAATCGAAACTGAGACCCTTCAGTCCACAGGCCGAGGCTCTACCCACTGAGCCAAACCGGCTAGGGCTTAGCTGTG